TTCATGTGAGGGGTGAGGCTATATTTATAGTGTTTTGAGTGCAATTAATGCAGGAATATGAATCATTTTGATCGGACGGTCCGGAGAGCTTCCCTTGATCAGATGACGTTTGATAGACATTTGAGTGCCTTAACGATGTCGGAAATGAGCAATCTTGGGCTCGTTGGATTCATCTTTTAGAGATGCTCTATTCGACTATAAACTCGCTAGATTCGACATCTGTTTGACCTTTCAAATGCCTCCGAAAATCCTTCAATACTGGTTTAATGATTTGATCCGAGCTTGATTTGACTCAGATTAGACTGACTTTCATATCATTAGGTCCATCTCATCGAGCTGATCAGTTTGACTATAAGTTTGCTGAAATCAGAGTTCCGGATGACTATTAATCAAAGTTTGAATATATTTTGTTCAAAAAATTGCACCGAGATTCGTGCCGGATGATGAAAATTTGTTGTTGGCGTATCAAATATTATTATTATTGTTATTATTACTATTATTATTATTATTATTAAGAGTTTCAAAATTTTGGGGTTCGACTCAAAAGGGTGCAATCGTCACGACAGTTTCGTTCTTAAGAGAGAAATATCCCATTCAAACCAAGTAACAACACAAAAATAGAATGAGAAGGGAGAGAGGTGAAAATGAGAGAAAGAGAAGAAGAAGAAAAAGAAGATAGGAGTCATGCATGTGATCTATTGAAGAGTTGGGACGTGTGTGCAACCCTAGTCGAGGACGAGCAACTCATGTGCGAGAGAAAGGGGAGAGGCTATAGTCAAGCATCTTGCATGAAGGGGGAGGAGGAGGCACACTCTTTGGATTTCAACATTGTGTGCTGGTCCTTCAGGGAGGAGGGACGACACTGTTGGTGTGGATTTGAAGTTAAACCAAGCGGATTTAAAGAGAAAGGAGTAGGTGAAGGCTTATTGTGTAGGAAGGGAGAGCCCAACCAAGCCCTAACATACACAAGGGAAGATCGAGCCTTAAGCGAGTATTTTGAGGTTTCAAGCAGAGGAAAAATTAGGAAACAGGCAGCTCATATGGTTGGATAGGCCGAATTGTGAGTTTATTAGGTAATGTTATGATTTAATCAGTTTTTCAGATTAATATTTTAAGTTTGTGTAATAAGTATTAATAATAAGTTCCATTAAAGTCGGGATTGAAGAACTTCTGCATCAAAGTAAGTTGAGAGTTTATATTGTAAATTTTTATATGAAAAAAATAGAAATTGTGTGGAACGAGGAGAGTTGGAAGGCTCTGGAAGGAAAATGGATAAATTAATTGAAGTCAAAGTTTCATTTATCTAATTCAAATTTAATTTTAGTAAAATATTTATATTATTTTATATTAATTTATAATAACAATTAAGACTAAGGAGTTTTGGTGATTAAAATCAGTAATATCAGCAAAAAAGGTTAATTTGGATAATTATATTTCTAAATTTAAGTAATTAA